CTACTTAAACACGCACAAATCCAAGATTACCAAGTTTACCAACATTACGTGCTAACAGTAGGGAGGAGTGCAAAGTTCCATCACATATAAGAGACCAGGTAACATACACCCGTAAACAGCTGATACATACTTGTTTCCTTTCTCTGCATCTCCGTTAACTAAAGGGATCCATTTAGTTTTAATCTGAAGAACAAAAGCAGAGACAGGCAAAAATTAAGTCAATGTTATACATAGTATGTGGAATGCTTATACAGTAAGTTACAATGTAAACCAAGTATCAGGTTACTACCTTGTCTATCGTGTCCTCGTTGGTGACATCGTACACAACACACACCACATTAGCCTGTGTTGTTGAAGAAAGAACAGGTTTATCAAGAAGAATACATTGAGCTAGAAAACAACTAAGAAAAAGATATGGATGTTTATGTTCCTGACATGAATGATGTAAATACAAGGCCTTGTAGACAAATAACCTATGTCTTAACAAATTATTATCTATAATTATATTCATTTATCTGGATCCAAGTTGTTATTCTAAATGAGGGAATATCAATAATCATTAGCCAATTCAGTCCATTAATTGAAATTGTTCAAACAGATGACATTAGTGCCAGGCTTGGATTTTCGTCATTTTAGGGGCAAGGCCTTTGGCCTTTGGTGTCACACATTTTTTCAGGGCGCAAAGGACACATGCCAGGGCACAAAGGACATTGAGGGAAACATTTGGATTTGGAGCTTACAAATAAATAACTTCACTTTCTGATAAGAAAAACACACGAATGACATGGAAAACAAATCACTTTTTTAATATCAATAATGTCAAACATTATATCATCCTATAGGCCTATGCCTCCTTAGTATTACCGTATATAAAATAAAATACTCTACTTTGACTAATTAGTGTTTGGTATGTTTTCCATCTACTACTTCTACCATTCACAAATCCAAAATCAAATCCAAAAATCTATAATTCTATTAATATGTAACACATATACTCCATTTCAGAGCAGAAGAAACAGCCTTCAAGGGTCCAACTCTGCACATAAATCATCCAGCAGTGCACAGTGAAGCGTGTGTGTGTGTGTGTGTGTGTGTGTGTGTGTGTGTGTGTGTGTGTGTGTGTGTGTGTGTGTGTGTGTGTGTGTGTGTGTGTGTAGAGAGTCTCTTTAATCAACTCCTCACAGCTCTGTTCAGAAACTGAATACAATCGTTGCTTTAATTCTGTCTTCAGGACGTTGTTGTGAGTGTGGACGGAGCAGCTGCAGGTTAGTTTAGCCTGATTGATCCATTCAGAAAACACCCATTTTAAAAGATTTTTCGCTTGCCGTCTTGTCTGCAGACTTGTCAAAGCATTAATTCAGTTTTTTTACTAACCGGTATCAGTATGTAGTTACTTCAGCATCCTTTTGAAACGTGTATTACAATTAAATCACTGTAAAATAGGTTACATTTGTCGTAGTTGGTTTCCACCACAGTATTTACATGGAAATAAGCCCCGCCCCCTCTCCAGCGCGTTCTGTTTGAATGACAGGAGTAAACACAGCTGACAGCCGAGGTGAAACTCCAGCGGTTAGAGCAATGTGAATTATGCATTATGCTGCGTTGTGAACGCAGCATAATGCAGTTCAGAAAACACTGTTCTGTCGCTTCAAGTTGTATTTTGTTGGACGAACGCACTTATTGTAAGTCGCTTTGGATAAAAGCGTCAGCTAAATGCAATGTAATGTAATGTAATGTTTTAAAGCAACTTCGAGATTTTAACAGTGTGAGGGGCCCAAAGGCCATGGTGGCCGTAGGACGTACAATTATTTGTGGGGCATAACGGCCAGACAGAGGGGCTACGACGACCATGGCCGTCATGGCCGCCGTGAAAATCCTACCCAGATTATTGCTGTTTGATGTACTGACCTTGATGATCTCATTTTTAAGGACTTCATCACTCTGCTCTGTTTCTGTTGAGGGCAAACAACATTTGTTTTAAGTCATAGTCAGAGCAATCCAGTTTGACAAACCACACACAAACACAAACAGACACAGAGGACTGAGTAATGTTGTTGTTAGCGTTCAGGTCATGTTACCTGAGTAGTCCACTATGTGTGTGGGCACTTTCTCTGGAGTCACATCAGCAGGGATGGTGATTTCCTCGGCTCTGAGAGGAACCTGTCAGAGATTACATCATGGATAAACTGTCAAACGTCCCTAAATCAGGCTACAGCCTCCAATAACACAAACACATCTTCGATTTTTCATTAAGCATGGACAAAATAAATGACACATTTCTGTTTTTTGAAAACTATGCTGGGGTATTTTCACTTTCAGATGAAAATGTGTTAACCTTAGCCATTATATGAATTAATAGAATATTCCTCCAAATCATTTTTGAAAAGTAGCACACTACTTTGTATATAAAGTGTTACATATTTGCCAGCAAGTGCAATAAAACTTTAATAAGCCAAAACTTTCCATAGACAATACTACCCCAGTACTACCACAGTAACAAGTAACAAGTAGCACAATTAAAAGATAAAAACCTACTTTGATATCAACACAGTGATTCTAGTCAAAAAGGGGATTAAAACAATAACAGTTTGTAATATCATATATCTTAGCCTGCAAGTAATTTTTGCAAATATAGTAGAAAAGCTGAGGATATTGTCGAGTAAACAACAAAGGAATTTAAACTTGAAATAGCTTGACCTGCGTGAACATCAACAAGCAACAATTAGTTGTCTTCACTGCACACAAATAAACCAGTTTGCTCTGAAGTGGCTACAATAGAGTAACTGTGGCTATAATTAGCAAATCATATTATAGATATTAGAGTCAGCTGGTGTAAATGTCCCACGTTTTCATGGACATACTCCTTTAGGTACAGCAGGGATACATAGTTAATCTGACACTTACCTCTTCTGGGAACTCCTCTCCAACCAAAGACATGATGAGTGATGTCTTCCCCACCTTGGCTGTTGGAAATAACAACATGAAGAGGATGAGAGGGGCTCACAGAGGAAGAATAAATGATCCAAATTGGCTTGTGTGAAAGAAAAAAAGGCAGCACCTACTGTAGAAATAAATGTTGTAGAAAGTTAGCTGGCTAGTCCTTATGTTATAATTTACATAAAAACCCTGATATGGACTGACTAGCTCATTATTAGTACAATATCTGAATACTTCTACTTTTACTAAAGTACAAGGTCTGAGTGCTTCTTCCTACTTTGACTGTTAGTTTAGTAGCAGCCGTTATGTTAATGTTAGTTTACATGTCAATAGTCTCAAACTAACGGATAACTCAAATATCAGAAAATTAAATAAACATTATATCTGTCCATTGGGTAATGTATATTTCAGTGGACGGCAGCTGATAATTTAGCAAATAATAATAAAACATGTTTACTAACTTCTCTATGGCAGCTAACTAATAACCGTTCAGAAGTTACTGAGCTAACGGTTAGTTAGCATTGCGGAAATCAGCACTTGGAAAGCGGCCAATTCATAAAAAACATATAATTTAATAACATAGAATACAGTGGGTGCAGATACACATATTAGGACAGTTTTCGACACCATGCCACCAGGAGTACCCGAGGTAAATTCAGCGACAAGTTGCCAAGTTAGCTTAAACTGCTAATGTTTGCTAGTCTTTTAGCTTGTGGTTAGCTGTCAGTGAAATGACTCACGTTCCCCCAATAACAGAATCCTGACGTCCTGCTTCATGTTTCCTATCTGTTTGACGAACAGTCCGACACGCTGCGGTGCTACAGTAACATTTATCTTGCATTTGAATGTCAAATTCTAGATTAAATCAAACGTGTGGCTGCTCTCCACAGCGATATGCACCAAGGTGAAAGCATATCATTCCGGTTCACAGAGAGGAGGCGGGGAAACATGCCCCCTGCTGAGCAAAGGGACACCCTGCAGACACTGTTTACACCACATTGTATTGAATGAGGTTTGATTGTAGTCTATAAAACAAATAAAGTATCTATGTATCTATCTATAAACGTACATTTACACAAGTACTGTACTGAAGTACAATTTTGAGATACTTGTACTTTACTTGAGTATTTTCATTGTATGCTACTTTGTACTTCCATACTACTCCACTACGATTAGGTAAACGTTGTACTTTTACTGCACTACATTTATTTTATACCTTTAGTTACTTTACAGATTTTGATTAATGATGTGAAATATAATCAACAATTAAAACATACTTTAGTTACACCTGGAGTAGATTCACAGGATACCCTGCAGTATACAAAGTTATTAAAACTAGCTGCACCTTTACCAGCTTTGATAACACTTTAATGATCAATCATTATAATCAAAACATATGATATATATTTATTTCTGAAATGGACAAATCTGCAGAATGAGTACGTACACTCTGGTACTTCTACTTTTACTCAAGTAGCAGATCTGAGTACTTGTTCCACCTCTGTACATTACACCCAAAATGTTACTAACCAAAACATTATTGGTTAATAATTTGCTGTTTAAATATAAAATAAATGAAGTAGCCAATATTTTGTTTGATTTCTATTTTAGAAAAAGCAGCGATAAGAAAGATGGATGTCTTATTTAATGTAATTATTACCAAAAATAATGGTGCTCTGCCTGAATCTTTAAGACACATTCATGTAAGTGAACATCATTTGAGTAATTACTGTTTGAATTACTGGGGCCTTTCCTCATTCAAACCTCTAGTGTTGCTTTAGGAAAAGCAACAGATGGTTAAAATCAGGGTTTATTATAGTGTCTATTCCTCAGGGAGATCACAAGGAGACGGAGTTATGTGTATTAAATAACAATCTCATAGCACAGACAAGAGAAGAAATAGACAGGATAATTTAAGCCCTCACAAATGATGTTTATTATAGTGCCAGAAACAATGACTATGGCAGCCTCCCCCTTGTGTGTGTGTGTGTGTGTGTGTGTGTGTGTGTGTGTGTGTGTGTGTGTGTGTGTGTGTGCACCATCCAATCATTGTGAAAGTCATCTTGCATTATAGTTTTTTATTTTGCATGCTGCTTTTTATTTAAACCCCATACCATCCTTCAGCAGCCCACAAACCATCATTCTATCTACAACTGAAAAACAATAGAAATAACAGCAACGTATCATTATACAAATCTTAAATTTACAGTAAGAAAACCTTACAAAAATTGTCAAAAATGACAAGAAACTGGACATACAAATCAATCTCTTAAAAATTGTAATGCACGTAAAAAAAATCTATGTGGCATATCTACAAAAAAACCTCTCTACAAATTATAGCTCGACTTGATAAGAAATAAATAAATATGGAACAATAAAACTACAGAAAAAACCCATTTCAACTAGGCACCTGGGAAAGAGGATACACCTACAAGTGTTTGAGGGTGAAAAAGGCCCTCAGAGGTCCTGCACCTCCCACAGCAGGATCTCATTATAAGCTACAGTGAAGAGAAGTTTTCCTGAAGGCGAGAAGCGACACGTCTGCAGCGAGTCGCTGTGCTGCAGGAAGTCCTGGAACCTGCCGCTGGACGACTTGATCAGCTTCAACACCCGCCCTGATAAGAGATTAGATATATAGTGAGACATCAAAACGTACCCTTCTTTAATATAACACATTATTAGAACCATATGGTGACACATCATTAAAAAAGTTCACCTTTTGATCCCACAGCTATGAGTTGGCTGTGACAGGAGAGGCTTAAGCATGTGGCCCAGTCGGGAAGGGCAATCGTTTTGATTATCTGTAGTAAAAGAAATATCATTTTACAGTGACAGGAAACATCACACACAGTGGTAGAGGAGGGAAGCAGGGGGAGCTGTTGTACCTGTTTCTTTGCCAGGCTGTAGAACGACAGCTCTTTCTCCACTCCATAGCCGGTGTAGACCACCAGGCCGGGGTCTGCGGGGCAGAAGGCAGCCAGGCTGGGAGGTGGGCTGTCATCCTATAGCATCAAATATTTACAGATTTACATGTATTAGATGTGCAAAGGTCAAACTTAGATTGAGCTTCATTCGGTAGAAATATCCTAAATACACTGCAACAAAATGCTGAAAGAACGCTGAGAAAAACGTTAAAATCTCAAAAGACACCTAGAATTTAGAATAAAATAGGCTGTTAAATGCACATGTGTTAGGTTCGAAGGGCTGAGCCTGTCACTTTCCTGAGCTAAGACCCCAAATCAAGAAGCTCATTTAATTGAATCCTGTGAAATTACAAATAACATTAGATTCAGCAAAGACAGTCCTGAGTATTGAATGAATAGGGTTAGGGGTTGAATAACAGCCTTAAAAATTCATGTTAATAAGTAATGAAGGCTAATATGAATTTATTTTAGATGGAAGATAGAGTATCTTTCGACATTTGGAGGTACATTTTTTGTCATTACCATGTACTACTACTTAAAATACAAACTGTACCCCGATATAGGCGGGAGCAGGAAATGTCAGCCAGTCAAGTAGATCACATTTGTCGTTCAGCCAATCAGCAGCCCACACACTGACGCGTCTGTCAGCACTGGCAGCCAACCACATCTCCTTTCCTTCGAGTTTGAGATTCTTACACTGAGGATTAGGAGATAAAACAGGCGTCAGAAAATGGCAACAAAGGAAACCAGAGCGCACATGTGAATCAATGTCAGATAATCATTTGTATATGATGAAAGCAGGAAACATGTCAAGAGCACTTGTACTCGAGGAGCCAGATGCCACTTCATTCTCCAACATACAATATCTGATCAATTGAAGTGCATATGAAAAGATCATCAATGCCTCTCGAATAGAAAATCAGGCTGCTATTGATTTAAAATTCTGCATGAAAGCCACAATAATACATTTGTATTTATTTTAATCATTTATTTGGCAGGGACAATGCACAGTAATGAACACTGAAAACATTAAAATGTGTCAAGCGTAACAGTGCCAGATTTAGCTTTGAGCTCATTTCCATCTGCAGTCCCTCACATAAAATATTTAAGAATCATTTTACAAACATAGCAAAAACAAAATACATGATATGCAAAAAGTGCAAAAGAGCAAGAGCAGAAAACAAGTATTTATGACATGGTAATACAATATAGCAGCAACGACAAATGACTAGGGATGTAACGATACCAAAAACTCACGGTACGATATTTATCACGATATTGAAAAATAAAGGGAAAAAAATGTGAATTTTCTTTTTTTTTACTTGAATTTTTTTTTCTTTATTAAATAATAAATCAGATTTGTAAAGCATTTTAGTAGGATAGTAGTATGTTAAAGTGTCAACAATATAATAATCAGACCCTGCAATAGAATAAATCAAGTTTCACTTTAGTTTTTCAAGTAACTCAACTCTAACTCACTCACTCACCATCATCAAGGTTATCTGTTAGGAATATGAGCATGTCCACATTTCCAGGTAGAAGCTGGGATTTTTGGGCGTTTACAATATCCCCTGCTGTGGAAAAAACTCTCTTGCTTGGTACTGATGTTGCCGAGACAGAGAGATATGCTTTGGCCATGGGTGACAGAAGTGGGTCAAACTGTGCATTGTCTCTCCACCACTTCAAAAACAATAGTTTTTGCCAAGAAGGTGAGGCTTATTGACAGAGATATATATACTGTTGGTACTTGTCAATGTCTCTAGGTATGTACATGTAGCCCTGTAAATACGATGTCCTTTTGTGTTATCTGATGTTTTATGTTCATGTTGTAACCTACCGTAACATTTTTTTTTTTTTTAAATCGCGTTATATTTTGTCAGTCTCACGACGGTATTGAGACATTTATTTACCGCGATATTCGATATATCGTTACATCCCTACAAATGACCAATGGCACTTTTATTTAAAGTGATCATACAGAGCTAAATCCCAGATCAAATGCACACTGAAGGCTCTTTGAGCATGTTTTCTCTCACTGATTGTGCTGTTATGTTAAATGTTTGTCGTTTGTGTTTCATGTATTGTGTCTGGATACTTGTCTGTTGATGTTTGGACGTGGAGCTGCTGTGACGCAAGTCAAATTTCAGACTTGATCTGACAAATAAAGTATTATCGTATCGTATAAAACCAGTAGTGTAGTGTTTAAACGATAGGTGCAGAAAAAAAACTGTGAACTCTCAGGATCATATTTCCTATTCGATTGACTTGTATCCAATCGGAGGCCATTCTAACCCATGGATGTATAATAAGAACTGGATACAGCGTGGGAGGCGGGGCCTCATTCATTCCTATGAGAGTTGCTCATTGGCGCATGATGATAAAATGGCCCAACTTTTGAGAGAGTGAAACGTCACAGATTACCCAGCATGCCTGAGAAGTACCCGTATGTGCGCTCATAGAGCATGCGCAACTTTAACCAAAATGCTCGTTCACATCAAGCACGTCAATTTGCGTACACGTAACAGCACCGTGCGTTCATGACAGCATGGTAATGATTTGTTATTATGATGGATTTGATATTAACGAGGCGGCAGTTAGCGGCTAGCTAGTAATTATGCTAATGTACACATCAATCCTTATGTACTTATATTACGCTGTAACAGGATCTAGTGATATCCAACAGAGCTTCATTTAGCATGAAATATATATATAGGCCTATATATATACAGTGCAATAAGCTTCTTAGTGCAATAAGAAGCTACAGGGACGTTAATCTAACGTCGGTAATATTAACTTTATTTAATACAACATTTACGGTACAAGATTTACATCATACAGCCCATGTAGTATAATATTTTACAAATGATGAATTACAGCAAACATGTGCAATATATCCATTACTACAGCTCCGTGGGATGGCAGTAAGGCGATATGGGTCCGTTCTTATTGGGCATCCATGGGTAAAGAGAAACTCATGTAGTACTGAACACGTAACATGAACGTGCCGGGCGGCGCGGTCCCGTGGGTTAGATGCGCGTTCATAATGCAGAGGGAAATAACTCTCAGAATAACGTTATTAGCACATTTTTACAACTTGAGGAACGAATGTTTTTAATAAGGTCTATACAAGTGTTCATACTGGGTTGTTTATTTAGTTTAAAAAAAATTATCCAACGAGTTACAGACCACTCTTTCCCAATGTAAGTCAATGGGAAAAAGTGTTTCCGGGCCCAGCAACCTAAAGGAAGTGTAGTACCGCCGTTTGGCCACAACAAATATTCTCATCAGACTCAGGCGCACTTCCTGGGGGCTTGTTCTAACCTCTAACCTCCCTCTGTGTTCCTGATGGCTGCCATGTAGAGCAGTGTTCAAGCTTTATTACTTGCTCTCATTCAGTACGCTCACCTGTTCATTCACACACTGGATGGTGGTAATCGGGGCTCCTTTGTGATCCCGGATTATACGAATAGTTGCTCCATTCATCGGGCTGCTGACAGCCACCAGACCATTCTTCCCCGCTGAAAGGATCACATGACCTGTAGGGGGGTTCGGGTTATTAGCTTCAAATAAGTGCAATAGTGCAATAGTTTGAAATCAGTCAAGTACTACAAGATTGTATTTATTATTTGTGTTAATTGGCCAAGGTGAAGTGGAAAAGGGCGGTTTTCACTCTGTAGGTGCATGGCTCTTCTCTCAAAAGTGTTAAAAGGCATGTAAGATTCACTAAAAGAACTAAACAGAGACAAGGAAGACTAAGGCAAAGACAGTTACAGCAGTTACAGCATGAAGTTATTCCTCAAAAGTCAGTAGCACAATCATCAAAATAAATAAATAAATACATTAAATACAGTACAGTAAATTCTCACCGTCAGCTGAGTACTGGATGGCAGTGACGGCCACTTGATGAGGATGCAGCTTCATCTCCATCTCTGAGGAGGAAAGCCTGAAGATCCTCAGAGTCCCATCGCTGTATCCTCCAGCCACACATGCACTCTCGGTGCTGGAAGAAGGGCTCCAGCACACACAGCCGCAGGCCTGAGGCACAGAGAGGAACAGGGGGGCAATATTTGAATAATGTTATGATCAAATCAGAATATATTTTTGTTTCACCACAATATTTAAATGTGCTATGGAGTAGAAACAATGGGAGACCGCCAATCAGTGTAATTCCTTCACTTAATATAACATTAATCTCTACCCGAGAGATCATTGAATTGATTTTAAAAATAAATAAAGGGAAAAATAATTTAAATTAGGGAAAATGATTTCCTAGAGACATTCATATATTTAAGAAAGAATAAAATACAATATGTACACAAAAAAAGGCCTAGAAATGTGCAATGAGGATAGATAATTAGCTAAATAACATACAGATATGTAAAACAATAAGGTAATATTTAAATCAATTTTTCAGAAAGGGCTTTAGAGATAAAAATATACAAATGAGCGTCTGCTATAGAAAGGACACACAACACTATCATAGCACAATTCTTCTGCTATATTTGTCTTTTTTGTAAAATTCCCTGATATTCTCCAATTTCACCATCAGATGTACAGTCTCAGATCCTCCATGGAGGTGCCCGTTAAAAAGCAACAAGCTCCTTCCATACATTACATTAACTCAGAATACTTCCTCACCTGGTTGAGCACCTGGAACTGCACCACCAGCTCGTTGCTAGGCGCCGACCACACCCTCACACTGCCGTCCTCGCTGCAGGTGGCAAAATGTCTCTCGTCAGAGCTGAACACCACATCATTCACCTACACACACACACACACACACACACACACACACACACACACACACACACACACACACACACACACACACACACACACACACACACACACACACACACACACACACACACACACACACACACACACACACACACACACACACACACACACACACACACACACACACACACACACACACACACACACACACACACACACACACACACACACACACACACACACACACACACACACACACACACACACACACACACACACACACACACACACACACACACACACACACACACACACACACACACACACACACACACACACACACACACACACACACACACACACACACACACACACACACACACACACACACACACACACACACACACTAATTAAATGTCGCATCTAGTTATAAACTTCATTTCATCGTCTGGACAGAAAACCGGAAGCTCGAAATGGAACATTAGTAAATAAATTGGTGTTCATCGTGCTGATGGCTTTTTCATCAGTACATTGAATGACAGAAACAGCTGGTAATTGCTTCCCTGCGGTTTCTTTGATTTGATTTCATGATTCACACCCCTATGTTCTGAAGAGCTACAAACTGCCTGTAATATGAAATCCCCATATCCTCACTTTTATGTGTGATTGACAGGCTGTTCATACAGGTTCCCACTACATCCATTGGTATTTTCACATAGCAGAAAATACAGAATGAGTGAATCACTGTCTCCAGTTTCAGCAGCATTTCAGTGGAGTGGTAATAACATTCACCTTCATGTACAGTATTTAAAGAATACGGCAATAGTTTAGGCAAATATCAAGTCACAAGATTGGTCATGAGAAAGTGCTTTGAATGAAATTATAATGTGATACTTAGCAGCTCATGCTGGTGTAAATACCAATTGTTTTTGTAGATATCTGGCCATAATAAAAATGTTGAACAAATGATGGCGTTGGATTTCAGAGGTTCACCAAACTCAACAAGATTTAGTCTGTATATTTAATATATATCTGGACTGAATGTCATTACGATAATTGTTTTTAGATTTGAATAAAAGCCATGAAAATCTACTTTCAGGGGAGTGACAGAATGTTAATATAGAATTTCATGAAATCATCTCATAGTTGTTGAAGTATGCTAAGTGGTGGACAGTAAAACTGAGACTGAGACCTAAAAACCTCAGATTTGAGGTTTAAAATGATTAAGAAAAGATATGCAGTTCCTATTTCAGTTACTCACAGCAACAGTTTTGAATTGGGGATGATACTCTATTTGTAATATAATTTGTTTTTACTATTATAGCTATAGCAGTCATATTAATGCAGACCATGCCATGAAACTATAAGGAACAAGGTGAACAAGACACATACGGTTATTTTTTGTTTCACAGATCTCTCCCTGATACCTGGGTCTTGTGCCCGCTGACCAGCCGGATGCTGCTGCAGTCCGACCAGTTGATGTACCAGAGGGTTCCCGCTGTGGTGCCAACGATGCCCATGTCCATCGAGGTATCAAATGCAGCGCTGACCGTCGTCCCGTCCAGCATTATCTCCTGCTCCAACACCACCGAGGTGCCACTGAGGGACAGAACAACAACAATGGGCAGACCTCGTTACTTAAGGATGAAATGGAACCGTATTTCCACTGTTTTGGTTGCTCGTTTAATCATTAACATCAATCAGTCAGGTCTAGCAGAAGGGCAAAGCCTCATAAAACGGCATTAAACCACTATATTTAGTACAAAATATACTCCACAAATATAAATACTTATTTGTCATACTGAGTGTGAGTACCTCAAAAGCAATTACAAGAAATAACACATTTCTTCACGATGCTCCAGCTACTTTACATTGACTGAATTTTGGGAGGAGTGGAACATTCATCTTTCCATGAATTACCCTAAATGTGCCGTTATTGTATCTCAAATGGAAAACACCTACCATTATGATGAGGTACAATGGTAGGTTCAATGTATAAAGACATATATTATGACCTTATACCATTATGATGAGGTACAATGGTAGGTTCAATGTATAAAGACATATATTATGACCTTATACCATTATGTTATTGTTGCCCTTATGCAAAATGTTATATAGACTGAAATGAAACAACGCAGGTGTCCCACTGTGTGTGTAAACTGTATCCGGACGGCATCAATGCATTCATGCCACAAGGTAAAGAAACATGTATACGGTCTGGATCTCCACAGGAAGAATAAAGCTGAGCTACAGACCTGTCTTCCCCGCTGCAGACCTTTTCCTGAGGCTTCACGCCCCGAACAGCTTCTACCTCCCACAGACGCAACCAGCGGGTGTTGCTGCCCGTCAACAGATGGTTCCCCCGACACAGCAGCACTCCTACATGAAGACACCAAATCATCCCATTACAACTGGTAGAAACCCCGGACCGGAACAAATGCACGCCAAAAAATTCTAAATGATGAAAAGTGATGTTTTAGGCATTTAAAAAAATAAATAATCCATGAATACAACACAAATAGCTTGAGGAGAATAACACTTTTGTAGCAGACTCCTATAGCAGTCTAGTCTGATGTTTTAGCTTCACACTGACATAGTAACAGTTGGACAGTGTCAGTGTGTAACTATGGAAACATGGCATTGAGAGGAACATTTTCCAAGGAATTGTGGGTAAGATTTTTCCCCTGTGAAAACGTAAACGACGCAAACGTTTAGTAGTCAAACACTATTGTGAATGTGTTAACTGTAAGAACAAAATAAAGTATTAAGCAAAAAAAAAATGTTATCCAAATTAGATTGTTAGAAAAAACCAAAAGATCTATCCGTACCAATCTCTCCCTCATCGGCCTCCCAGGTCATGAAGCAGCGCTGTGTGTTTACGTCCCAGACGCAAACGTGTCCTCGATTGGTGGCGGTGAACAGGAAGGAGTCGGTGTGGTAGCACAGCGCCGTCAGCTCCACCTCGCCCACCTCTGAGGGGGCTTTCACCCTCTGCACCTAGGAGTATGAGGGAGATGTCAATCATTACCCAACAATGAAAGTACAGAACAAATACTTACCCAATCAAATATTTAGTTCTGACGTATTATGCTAGGCCTGCACGACATGGAAAGAATTACTGATGGTGATTTTTTTCAACGGAGATTTCAATCGTGATATGATTCAAAAATAACGGAGGGATTGATCATTTTTGCATCATTATTCTTATTGTCATTGAATTTATTTATAATGATATGGTGTGTTTTATTTAGAGGATCCGTACCAAACAAAGGTATTTAATCAAGTTTTTAGAATGTGATTTGTAGGCCGGGACATCTATGCAACACCACAATCAACAATACTGATATTTGTATATACTTTACTGCATATTGCACTAGCCCATATAACCATTTCAATAAAATGCTGATTAATTGTGCAGTCCTATTAAAAAGATAGTTTCAACACTTTTCAAGGCAACAACGTGGATCATCAATTATGAATCAAGTTTTCTCTGTGGTCCTTTACCTTGAGGTCTACATCTGAACCCTGTGTGTGGATCAGGCAGAAGAAAACCCCCTGGCGGCCCACGCAGGCCAGCTGGCCGGCCGCGGAGGGGCTGAACGCTGCGTCATGGAGCGGCCCCGACATACTCACACTGGACAGCAGCTGGAAAGTCTTACTGCTCCACAGAGCCACCTCTGGCTCAGAGAAGTCTCCTACGGGGCGAGAATCAGGGGTCAGTAGAAGCAGAGTCACGTGGTTGGCCATGGCTGAAACATTGTCCTAATTTTAAGAATGTAACTGACAGAAGACAAGTCAAACTTTTCTATGAATTACTCACAGGAAATGCAATTTGATTGTACTCTAACTTTGCTTCAAGGTAACTAACTACTTTTGCTGAAGCCATTTGCTGCATTAAAATCACATTGGACAGTTATGATTTATAAAAAGGCAACTAACTTCCCGAACTCTATATTTTATGCATGGTACTCTGGGACCTGTAGTATACAACTACATTTCCTGCTCCATATCAAAACAGGACTACAATATTAAGGGTTGCCACTTTAATCTAATTCATATTTGACTGACCAACAGAGAGAAAGAAGCGATCGTCCCTTGAGAAGGCCAGACTCTGCACCGCCCCCCTGTGGTAGGAGATGGTACTCCGACAGGTTCCATTCTGGACGTCCCAAATGCAGATGAGGCTCCTGCTGGCGTTACTGCCTCCAGCTGCTGATGCCACCGTCTGAACAGGAAGCAAAACATACACACAGCACTTTCAATTTATATTACAACTCCATTAGACTCAGGACTAACTATGCCGAACACGAGAAAGCCTGCTTCATAATCCTTGACTTCTTTGGGCCCAAGCTTTGTGGAAATGTCATTCACAGACATTAGATCCAATAGCTTTTGAGAAGACTTTTAGAAACCCACAGACTATGTTGGACAAAGACATCAATTGAAATAGAACCACTTGCTTTAATACATTAACGACCCTGGTCCATGGTTATCTAACTTAATCGTCACATCGAAAGTGTCAACTTCTGTTCTATAAGAAGTCTGAGTGGTAACACCCTCCCATGGCAAGTGCTGAACACAAAGTGCTCCCACAGCAATGAATAAAACAGCAGTATATCAAAGTGTCAAAATCAATCTTTCTCCTGAGCAGACATGCCCTTTTTTGTCCGCTGTTGAGAATGGACTGACGGTGTAATGCATTGCCTGAATGGAATGGTCAACCAGCTAATGTACCCAATTTTCTTTCCTGCTGAACTTACCGGCTGACGCCTGTTAAGCCAATCACTGTCAAATAACTGGGAAGTGTGGAACTAAACGTACCTGTGCATCATGTGTGACTGCGAGACAAGAGATCTCCTCGCTGTGGCCCTGCAGGTGTCTCTGACTTCCTGTGTGAAGATACTCCACCACCACCACACAGCCACACGAGTACGCAAACAAACCTGCAACAGAAACCCATTCCTGATCAGGCAAAGCAATAACCAATACATTTGTGTAAATCAATTTATAATACATTATTCTATTAAATCTTGCTTTAGTTAGAAGTTAGACTGTGAAGCATTTTAAGTTTAAAAGCTATATTTCATATTTTTCAAATCTGAACATTGATTAGAATGAGATTCAACATTAACAATAACCTTTAAGAGAAAAAATATATATTCAAAAATAAAGATATATACAGTATAGATACATATATAGAGCTTCATGTCGCGATTTGAGAATTTCTCTATACATTTATTATTCACTAATACTAGGAATATTACTGCATAACACTTTAAAGCAATAACCTGGTTTCCAGCATTGATATCTTTATTAATACAAAACTGTATTGGAATATACATATGTTTACATATTTATTTGATGTAGTGCAATGTGGTTAAGTTCTTAAGTTCATATTTATATTTTTAGTTTATTCTAAATAGAGCAACATGAAACCCAATTCTCCCCCAGGATAAATAAAGTATTCTGATTTGTATAACAACAAATATTTAGCACTTGGATTTGACGGACCGATTCCTCATTTTACTTTTAATATAATAGTATATTATAATAACCTCGGTCAGGGCTCCACACCATGTTGCTACGGCCGTTTCCATTGTAGCCGATGACTGCTTTCAGCTTTATGCCCTCTTCTCCTGCCTGAGGAGCCACTGCAGCCTGGATCAGAGAGGACATTAAGACCGGACAGCAAACAAACCAATACATCCAATCACTGCTGTCATTATACAAAGTGCTTTCTACCTGATCCAGAGTGGAGGTCTTGAAGCGTGGAATAAAGTGCCTGTAACAATCAGGACGTACTGGCTTCTTTCCTTTCAACTCAACTATATGGAAATGTCACATAATTAGAGATAAATACATTTGAGAAAGGACAATTGTGCCATTAAGAAGAAAAACAAATTGCAGAAAAAGTTAAGCTTTGGTAGTTAGTAGGGATGCTCCGATCGATCAGCCGCCGATCGTTATCGGCCGATATTCACTCTCTGCCGATCGATCGGTGCTCTCTATAAAGGCCGATCAGGAGAGCCGATCACATGACGTAAAATACAAGACACCTTTCTCTGTGCGCAGCAAAACAAGCTCGCCAAAATGGCTTCACCACCAGTCTGGCAGTACAGTATTTTAAGGTGTCCGAAAAAGACAATAAAATAGCGGTTTGCAAAGTGTGTGAAGCAGAAATCCTGCAGCTCCGCCCGCTGTGACGGACCGGTGAGCGGAGCCAAACACACACTAAGAGTTAGATCTAACACACTTAGCTATTTGATCTACCTCTGGAACAAGCTAAACTAGTTAGATATATGTTTATTCTTCACTGTCGGGTCCCTCATTACTGGATCAGTGAGCTGCATGAGACGGATACTGACAGGCTGTCAGGAGAGAAAGAGAGAGGAAAAGAGAGCGCTTCCGCTCATTTCTCCCGTGTTATTCTCCAAAGTTAATGTAAACTTGAATAATGTACTTCATTTGAATGTAATAATTATGTTGGTTGTTGTTTGTGGAAGTGCCAGTGAATGAGCATTAACTGAGTTTTAAACAACACTTTAAATGGAAGATCCCCATAGGCCCCGCCTACACTGCGTTACTATAGTTACTACCCCAGTTACTAAACTATAATGGAAACGCAGCTTAAAGTGAGCCTGGCCTAGGCCAAACTAAGCTGTGCTAAGCCGTGCTAGGTCCTGCAGTGGAAAAGCGCCATTAAATACATGACTAATCCTAGCTTTAATGCAGAACAATGCAATGAGGCGCTTTACCAGCGTCCGTAAGACTTGAGTTGAGTGGAGATGTGTGGGTCAGCTCTGTGACTCTCAGGAAGGAGGATGGAGGTCTGGGGTCAGAGGAAGGGTCTGCAACTGAAGCGGGGGGGACTGTTGGGGGGTCATCACATATCGACAAGGAGCCCAAAACTGCAGGAGGGAAACAGGTGAGAAACGACGACTCAGGGTTACAATACATGATCATCATCAAGCTCAAGTATACAAGCTACAAGTATAGCAACACATGCACTCTTGAAACATGTGTTGTGAGTAAATGTTGGTGTTTCTAAAAGAAGTGTGTTGCTTGGCATGAGACATTTGTTTTTAAACTGGAGATTTCATTAGACATTTTGTTGTATATCTATACACTACGTCAGCAGGCATACTTCATTGTATATGCAAATAAAATCAACAAGCTCATGAAAATAATTCCAGTCTTTAAAAAATAACTCATATAGGAGCCGGAAAGGCAACCCCTGAATAATCCTGAAAGAACACTATAATCATTTGGTTCAACCTTTTCCTCCTTCAGGTAAAAACAAGTCAACAGTGTTTGAATCCCTCATAATGACGTATCAAAGGAAAGTGCTTTTGTCAACTGCTGAAGAGCTTCATAAATGGCAGTTACAATTGAACAGTTTTTTTTTTTTTCCACACAAGGAAACACAATAAGTGTTGTTAGTGATATTTCAAGATTAGGGTTTAATGAATAGTTACAAATCTACTCATTTAAGAGGATAATTTTGGTAAGGTAGATTTGTCTTATTTTGTTCTTGTGCTACTGGACAGAATTTAGCAAGATGAAGCTACAAGTGCTTTCAAAGCTAACCATACAGATAACAGTAGATAGGGTGTGTTTGTAGGTCATTTTAAAAATAGGAAAAAAAATAACTCACCCCCCTGGTCAACTTGGTCGAGGGTGCTGATGTCGAGTCGTGGTGGCGGAGAGGAGGGAAGAGGAGCCGTGCGTCGAGGCATCCCATTGGACAACCGAACTCCATTCACTTCAGTGTGTGGTTGAACTAGGACAACACAAGACAAACAATGTATTACAACAAACAATTGAAATCCATTTAATCTGATTTGATTGTATGTAGCATTAATACAACATTTCCATTTCATTTACCTGATTTAGGAGCAGGGGTGTGTCTTATTACCAGAGGTGAACTGTGAGTGAGGACAGAGGGTTTCAGATATTCTGCCAATAAAACTACACGGTGTAACACACAGATAAAAACATGCTACAGGGATTACTACCGGCTGTCAGTCAAAGAGTCGACAGGAAGTGCCAGGAAGTCCCAAAGGAAAATGGCGTCTCCCACTGAGACCACGCCCAGTTGGTCGGGGGTGAAGCCCACCTGGCGGATTGGCTGACTGTGTCCGATAAACATCTGGGTGAAAGAAACACACCTTTTAGTTCATTATTAAACAACATGAAACACTAATACTCCCACTGATCAATCAAAATTAAGACAATGTACTTGAATGCAACAGATTACGACATCATTACATTGTTAAAATCATTTGTATTGTTTGTTTAAAATACAACAGAATCTGTAGTTTATTTTCCAGTGACTAATACTTATCGTAAACTATAAAATGTTTAACGACCTGTGAGTTTATATGGAGCTGCATGTTGTAATCCCACACTTTGACAGCATTGTGTCCCGCCGTCAGCAGGAACCGACTGTCCTCACTCACAGCCAGGGACGAGCACTGGTGTTTGTGCACCTTGGACACCTGTCGGGACAGAATAAGACAGTCGCCAACAAACACTGGTTTGAAAAAGAATAACATGATTGCGTAGGAACAGAACTGTACATATTAACACTCTCACTGATGTTAGTCTACTCTATTTACAGATAATATTTTACACATTTCCTACAGCAGACACAGCATGAAAGTACTTTCAGGTAATTACCTCTCAGACCCTCTCAACAAGTCCCGTATTGATTTGTAGTACTTAACATAACATAGAATTACGTTTATTTATATAACACGTTGTTGAATAAATTAATAAATACATTTGCCAAGATGAAACATGACAAAAACATATAAGATAAGCCTTAATTTTAATACTTTTTAAGACCCCGCGGACACCCTGAATAAGCCATTACGAGGTATTTTTAATTAAAAAGGGAGAAATACAAATACTGACACAAAAATAAATTAAAGTTGACCCTTTATAAAACACATTAAACTTAAAGCCTGCAGAAAAATAAGACAATGTTGTAAAAGAGGAAGATAAGAAGAAGATTAACCTTTATTAATCCCCCTAGGGGGAAATTCAGTTTTTAAAAGACCTGCCATGTGGTAGAGAATTTTAGAGTAAGACTGAATAATGACAGAAGGCATCATAGGGTTTTATAAATGTGTCCTTATTTATATATAATAATCTGTCTGGTGTATAAAGTTAGCCTGTTAACACCTTAGGAAGCAGCTAATCCATTTGTAGACATAAGGCGTGTGGTGCAGTGGGATGTGCGTTGGTGTTCAGGTTCAAAGGCAAGGCAAGTTTATTTATATAGCACTTTTCAACACAAGGCTATTCAAAGTGCTTTACAAAAAATGAAAGACATTCAGAAAATGGAATTTAAATCAGTCATTAAAAAGAAAAGCTAATAAAATAAACATTAAAAGAAAAAAGACATGGATAAAAGTTACAGTGCTGTCAAAGATATGAATAGTTCAATTAAAAGCAGCGACAAAAAGAAAAGTCTTCAGCCTGGATTTAAAAGTAGTCAGAGTTGCAGCGGACCTGCAGGTTTCTGGGAGTTTGTTCCAGATATTTGGAGCATAATAACTGAACGCTGCTTCTTCATGTTTAGTTCTGACTCTGGGGACAGAAAGCTGACCAGTCCCTGAAGACCTGAGAGATCTGGATGGTTCATAATTTAGCAGATCAGAAATGTATTTTGGGCCTAAACCATTCAGTGCTTTATAAACCAGCAGCAGTATTTTGAAATCTATTCTTTGACACACAGGAAGCCAGTGTAAATACTTCAGAACAGGAGTGATGTGATCCACTTTCTTAGTGTTAGTGAGGACTCGAGCAGCGGCGTTCTGAATCAGCTGCAGCTTCCTAATAGATTTGTTAGTGAGACCTGTGAAGACACCATTACAGTAGTCGAGTCTACTGAAGATAAAAGCATGGACAAGTTTTTCCAAATCCTGCTGTGACATTAGTCTTTTAATCCTAGATATATTCTTTAGTTGATAGTAGGCTGATTTAGTAACTGTTTTAATGTGACTGTTGAAACTCAGGTCAGAGTCCATGACTACACCCCACTGCAGTCAGCATGTCGTTGTGTCCCTGGGACACTTCACCCCACATTGCTCCTGTGGGGATTGCCCACAGTATTGAGTATGGAAGTCGCTTTGGATAAAAGTGTCTAACAAATTACATGTAATAAAAAGTAATAACATAAAGTATTTTAAGAGATTTAGTTTTACTGGGAGACAGTGAAGAGAAGTAAGAATAGGAGTGATGTGTAAGTATTCTGGTTGGTTGCAGAGTAGTGTTTATGTTCTGCTAATGTGTAAAGGCTTAGCCCTGTTACCTCTCGGAGCAGGCGGCCTGTCTTGGTGCTGACCCAGAGGATCTTGTTAGAAGATGTGGCGACCAACAAGTGTTCAGTGGAGGCCGGAGAGAAGCAGACACTCAGAGCAGAATCCAGACGGGGGCTCTGCACGTCCAAAATACTCACATCTACATGGAGCAACTAGAGGGAGGTGGAAGGGGGACACAGGAAGAGTAAGACAGAGGAACTCGCAACAACATCACCTCCACATTTCAGGGGATATTAACATTATAAGTTGTCGGATATATTACATATTGGTTAATCATTTTATGTATGGTGTATACAGAAACAACTGAGTGTTCTTTTTCTATATGACTCAAAGAACAGGTTAATTTAAATGCAAAAATACTTTAGATGAACCGTTTGGATTACAATTGCAAACAAGCCACATGTAGTTGTTATGTGGAAGGGCAAGAGGGATGGGGTGGCCAAGGAACTACCTGTCGTATTTTCTCTTTTTGGTACCCTTATTTATATAATTTGTATGTGTATATTTGTGTCTCTCTGTACAGGTGACTGAAAAAATTCAAAAAGTTAATTTTTGATTGACACTTGCTCATCAGTGAAGATGATATTGATTATGAGATGATTATGATTGACTGTAACAATATTCCTATGAAAATAAACTACAAAGAGTAAGTTATAGCTAACGTAAGGATTGAAAGAAAAGGTAAGCTAGTTAGCCAGCTAAAGAAAATTAAATTGTTTGGCAAAAAAGTCACTTTCACACATCCCCGTAACATCGCTCTCTGCCAAACTTAGAGTGAGCTGTTCTAAAGCTCTAGTTTTAGGTAAGGATGATGCTCCCTCACCATTCCTTCACAACTGAACCAGATCTTAATTTAATGGGCGTTGGGACAAATGGTGTGATGCCGACGTTGTGTAAGGTACCTCATCCAGAGAGCGCGAGTCAGCGATGGTGACGATGTACTCCGAGGGGCCGATGAAAGCCAGACAGCAGCTGTCGCTGCTCACAGCGAGAGCGTCTGGAGCGTGCTCAGTGCCTCGAGCCACCACATTACCTAGCCAATCAGGAACAGAGAGAATCATATGATGCTGAACATGGCTGCCTGTGATTCAAACTGGTGATTGAGAAACTCGCAATATCAATTGATAATACACAACATATCAGAACGTGTGTGTTATATTTTAAAGTGTTGTTTCCATTGTGAGATTTCTAATGATTGTAATTATGGAATCTAACTGAGGTGTGTTTGTGCAATGTTGTGTGTGTCGCAGCTTCCTCAACGGCGTTTTTCACACAAGTTGCCCATGTCTGTGTCTCTTAAGAGTCTGGCACTGTGGGACTCTTGACTACAGAGGTCACAATTAGGTGAACATATTTGGCCACTTTTACAAAACAAAGACTGGCTCTAACAGTGTGCACACATACACACAACTCTGATCACGTTGAGGTCTTCCTCTGAGGCGTTGTAAAGTGCCAGAGAGCCCTGAGAGTCAGCGCTGTACATGAACTCCCCGTCCGGTGAGAAGGCCAGACCCACCACTTCACCTCTGTGCTGCCTGTATTTTATTGTTGTGAAGAAAGAAAAAACAGAAAGAACATGAGAATAAAAGCAGTCAATACGCTCTCTCTCGAAGGACAGCGTCTAAAAGCTTTTCAATAATGCATCGCAAAAAACCCACAAAAACGTCCTTGTTTGAAATTGTAAGTGCATGAGGTCCATCTGATGTATTTTCACATGCTATACAATATTATAGTTACTGCACCCACACAAGCTTTTAGAATCCCAGATAAAGAAGTGCTCTCAGTGGGGGAGCTTGAGCTTTGACGTTAGTTCAGACGTACTTGTGTTCAGCCAGCAGCTTGGCAGCGGAGATGTCGAAGACTCTGACGATGCCGGAGCTGAAGCCACAAGAGAAGACCTGCTCGCTGGGATGGAAAGCCACCGAGCAGGGGCTGTCCTCTGATGCGAAATCATACAACTAAGCACAGGAGACAACAGACATTCAGTTAGGTAAAGGTAAACCAATGGTAACAAAAGCAGAGGGAAAGGAGGTTTAACTATACTCATTTGTGGAGCGCCTTCAAAGCAAACCTTTACATTATTTGATATAACCTAAATGAGTTACACCACTTTGCCACAGATAGGACAGGAGTGTATAGTAAAATAATAATATCTTCAAAATTCCACATATTTATCAAAACAGAGAGTTCGATGCTCAGTTTTGCAAACAAACGCATATGACTTTAAAAACTATCTTTCGTTTTCTAAAGCACAAAACAGTCTGACGGGAAACAAACATCGACCACGGCATGGCTTTGCTTCAACAGAGAAAGGACAGCTGATATAAAGCCAAATGCCACCTTTTTGAAATATATTTAATTTTTACCTCTTGTCTGGTTCAACACATTGAAATCCCTGTTGAATGATTATAATCAGAACATTCAAACAGTAGGAGCTGATTATTAGGTGAACATTTGTTCTGAAAACTCTTAAATGTGGTATTTATTGACCTGATGCAAGGAATCCATGTTCCAAATGCGCACGGTGCCGTCGGAGGAGGCTGAGGTGAGATGCCGGCGGATGCCATCCACGCTGAAGCCGAGCACCGTGTCAGTGTGTGACCTCATCAGCGTGTTGTAACCGCGGCTGCTCACATCGAGGAAACCCAGGTTACCAGTGGAGGTGGCTGCCAGCACCTGAAGGCTGTCAGAAGAGACTGACACCAGGCTCACAGGTCCTTCATGCTCTGGAAGACAAGGCCATGTGAGAGGAAGCACATATACATCTCATAGTTAGGAAGGTCAGTTCACAGAATGATCCAATTTTGATGTAATAATGTAGCAAATCTCCAAAACTGTGTTTAATTTTCAAGTTATCTCAGACATTATTATAGGTTTATGTTAACACAGGGTATATGCAGTATAACCCTAACCCTGAAGTCAAATGTAATACCCTTTTAAGACCTTTTTTAAGACCCTTCCATACATTTTAAGACCTCATCGCCACTTGGAGTTTTAACCGGTTACCTTGGCGACACACTTTACCTCACATTGACTATAAACAGTATTGATTGTCCTTCCTCCTTATCTTCCAACCATTTGGACGCAAACTTGCATTTCCCCATAACGATGTTGCTTAACAACCGGCGTAAACGGACCTTCGCGCTATCAAGCAGTGAGCGTGCGATGTCCTGTTCAGATGACGTCAAACCCAACGGGATGCCATCAATAAACTACACAGAATCACACTACACACCTACGCAATGATTACATTCAGGCAGACTGTAGAATACAACCTCTTTGGACAGTTTATATACTTATTGAAAACAAGCTACAAAATGTAATACCTTGGAAAGTGCCGTTTAATATTTTTTAATAGCCTTCATTTTTCGCTAAATTGATTTATCAACTTTTAATACTTTTTAAGACCCCGCGGACACCCTGTAATAGCTTTGTTTGTTTAAAGATTTATATCATTGCGGCCCTCTGCGGAGGTGAAAGAGACTTTTATGTGGATCATGTTTACTGAAATCAATCAGGATAATGAAATCTCCTCCATGCAAACTATAAATTGTCTAAATATATTGAAGATTATACAAGGCCTATGCATGCATCACTCCCAGTGGAGTGGGAGCTGTAAGATATTATAATTTTGATGCAGGGAAATATTAATCCACGCCCCGCTGAGCGTACCAGCCTCCAGGAAGACAGCGGAAAAATCCAGGGGCCAGAGTCTCAGGAAGCCATCTTCAGAACCTGTGGCGCAAAATGATGAGGACACACTGATGCTGTTGATGGCAATGCCTGGACCTGAAACACAAACACACACAAAATTATGACATTAAAAGGCTGTTCCCCCTCTACCCAACCCCTGTTTTAAAGGTCTCCTATTATACTATTTTTAGGCATATATTATAGGTCTCAGATACATAAAAAACATGTCTAGGAAGTGTTTTGTTTAAAATAACAAACTGATCACCCATTTCAGCCATGCCTCATATCCCTCTATTTCAGCCCTGTTAGAGAAGTGCTGATTTCTTTAAAAAAAAAAAAAGCCACACATTTCCGATATTACGTCATATCGGCAGTAAATCTGGATCAGCTCCGTTGTACCCCCGTTTTTAGGGATGTGGGTAAGGAGGAAAAGAGAGAGGTTTTTTTTCCGGATACTTTGTGAGTCTCCTGTCACATCGGGAACTAGGACTGTCCCGAATACCATTTTTCGGGCTCCGGGTATTCGGTAGTAATCAGCAGCGAATATTCGGCCCACGCGGGGGCAAAAAAGGTGCATTTTGCATGATACTGTAGGTCCCCTTTAACACTTATGTTGTGTCGGGTCTCCCGTGACCCGTTTCAAGTTAAATGATATAATAACTACCCTTTAGTTTTTTTTATCGGAACAAGGCTTCATGAAACTTTGACTCAAGTTACTTATCAATACTAAACCAAAATTAAATTATACCTCCTTTGAAAGTCTCGTTTTTAGTCTTACGCATCCGACCTGGAAAACTTTGCAGCCAATCTTATTTGTTACAGTGTACCGTGCACCAGGTCCTTATTCAGAATTCTTATCTGAATTCTCTGAGTTTTTATCAACTTTGGTACTTAAAACAGAAATAGTAATTATCGTAGGTGACTTTAATATTCATGTTGACGACGATAAAAATAGCCTTACTGTTGCATTTAATCTCTATATTAGATTCTGTTGGTTTTTGTCAGAGTGTAAATAAACCAACCCACTGCTATAATCACACTCTCGACCTTGTTCTGACTTATGGTATTGAAATTGAGCAACTATTAGTCGAACCGCATAATCCTGCTTTATCCGACCATTTCTTAGTAACTTTTGAAGTACTGTTACTAGACTACAAAGCATTAGTCAAAAGCTCCTGCAGCAGAAACCTATCTGTTAGTGCTATAGCCACAGTTTAAGGAAGAGATTCCACCAATACTTAACTCGATAGCATGTCTGCATGTAGGGGAGGAAACTTATACAAAATGTACAACCACCCCCAAATTGGATCATGTTGTTGATAGTGCTACAGATCGCTGCGAATAAAAATTAGACTCTGGTTGCTCCTTTGAAAAAGAAGAAAATAAAACAACATAGATTAGCTCCATGGCATAATGCCGAAACCCCGCAAAATAAAGCAAAAGTCGAGACAACTTGAAAGGATATGGCGTTCCACTAAACTTGAAGAATCTCGTTTAATTTGGCATATTACTCTCAATGAATATAAGAAAGCACTGCTGTAAAGCGAGAGCAGCCTACTACTCTTCATTAATAGATGAGAATAAGAATAATGCAAGATTTCTTTTCAGCACTGTAGCCAGGCTGACAGAGAGCCATAGCTCGATTGAGCCTTCTATTCCCATAGCACTCAGTAGTAATGATTTTATGTGCTTTTTTAACGATAAAATTGTTACTCTTAGAAACAAAATGAATGAACTCTTGCCTTTGACCAGTATAGTGTTATCAACAGCTCCCGGAAACGTAAGTTCTAATATTACACTAGATAGTAAACTAGAATGCTTTTCAGCCATAAAACCTTGAACAATTAAATTCAATGATTCTCTCTTCTAAACCATCAACGTGCATGTTAGACCCAATTCCAACTAAGCTGTTGAAGGAAGTTTTCCATTAATTAGCACTTCTTCATTAAATATTATGAATATGTCTTTATTATCAGGCTATGTTCCACAATCATTCAAAGGTTTTAGACAATTATAGACCTATTTCCAATCTTCGTTCCTCTCAAAAATTCTTGAGAAAGCGGTCGCAAAACAGTTGTGTGATTACTTAAAAAACAATGATTTATTTGAAGCTTTTCAGTCTGGCTTTAGAACACATCATAGCACAGAGACAGCTCTGGTTAAAGTCACAAATGACATTCTAATAGCCTCTGACAAGGGACGTGTCTCTATTCTTGTTTTGCTCGATCTCAGTGCTGCATTTGATAGTATCGACCATGATGTCTTATTGCAAAGACTAGAGCACTTAGTTGGCATACAGGGAACTGCTTTAGACTGGTTTAGGTCCTATCTATCTGAACGCTCTCAGTTTGTACGTGTCAATGATGAATCTTCCACGCAAACCAAAGTTAGCCATGGAGTGCCACAGGGCTCAGTGCTCGGACCTATTTTGTTCACATTATATATGCTTCCGTTAGGCAATATTATAAGGAATCATTCTGTACATTTTCATTGTTATGCGGATGATACTCAACTATATTTATCAATCAAGCCTGATGAAATTAATCATTTAAATAAAATTCAAGACTGCCTTAAGGACTTAAAAACATGGATGACCTTAAACTTTTTGATGTTAAACACGACCAAAACTGAAGTTATTGTACTTGGCCCGAAGAATCTACGAAACAAATTATCTAAGGATATACTAACTATGGATGGCATTAATTTGGCCCCCAGTGAGACTGTAAGGAATCTTGGTGTTATATTTGATCAGGATTTATCCTTTAACGCCCACATAAAATCAATTTCAAGGACCGCCTACTTCCATCTACGTAACATTGCAAAAATCAGGCATATCTTGCCTCAAAACGATGCAGAGAAACTAGTCCATGCATTTGTTACTTCAAGGCTGGATTATTGTAATTCTTTATTATCAGGGTGTACCAAGAAGTCAGTCAAGTAGCTTCAGCTGATTCAAAATGCTGCAGCTCGTGTACTAACCAGAGTTAGGAAAAGGGACCACATTACTCCTGTTCTGGCTGCCTTACACTGGCTCCCTATAGAACACAGGATAGAATTTAAAATTCTTCTTCTGTCTACAAAGCCCTTAATGGGCAGGCGCCATCTTACCTTAAAGAAACTCATTATACCCTACTGTCCTACTAGGGCATTGCGTTCCAAGAATGCAGGGTTGTTGGTTGTTCCTAGAGTCTCTAAAAGTACAATGGGAGCCAGAGCCTTTTCTTATCAAGCTCCACATTTGTGGAATCAGCTTCCAGTTTGTGTTCGGGCGGCAGACACCCTATCCGTTTTTAAGAGTGCGCTTAAGACCTTCCTTTTTGAAAGCTTATAGTTAGGGCTGATTAGATTCACCCCTAGTTTTGCTGATATAGGCTTAGTTGTCGGGGGACATCTTACTTCTTCCTTCTCTCTGTCTATACCTGTGTACTCATGTTCCGATTAACCCAGCTTCCCCAAATGTCTTTCTTTTGGTGTCTATATACGCCGGGATCCGGAGTCATGGATGATCCTGCGCTCCTCTGTCCTGGATCGCGAGCCCTGGATCTTGAGTCGTGGCTGTGGTCCTGGATCATAGGTCCTGGATGGATATCCTCGTGGATTCATCTTCCTATTATACACACATGCATTTCCAAACATTTGGACTACCTATGTTGCAAATGTATTATCTTTTCAATTACACACGGCATCTATTGCACGTCTGTCGTCCTGGGAGAGGGATCCCTCCTCTGTTGCTCTCCCTGAGGTTTCTCCCATTTTTCCCTTTAAACTGTGGGTTTTCTTCGGAAGTTTTTCCTTGTACGATGTGAGGGTCTAAGGACAGAGGGTGTCGTATTGTCATACTGATATTTTGTACAAACTGTAAAGTCCACTGAGACAAATGTAACATTTGTGATATTGGGCTATATAAATAAACATTGATTGATTGATTCATGATATCCTCCACAACAGATATATAAACACTACAAAACTGATTTTGACGATTTTGGCCAAGTCTGAAGGTCTCTAAAAAAGTGTATAATTTGGTGTTCGGGTCTGGGGAGACCCAGCAGAATTGTTTTGGGTGACTCAAGGTCAAATTTGGCCCAATCAAGATTCATCTTTGACTTTAGACCCCCCACCCCCTTCATCAACTGTAACAATAATTTTTCCCAACATGCACCTGGTCTCCCCTCCCTCTGCCACCCCCCCCACGGGAACTCGACCTTTCTCAAAGAATATGTACACTAACACTTGAACCTGAACTCACACATGCAGGTGTGCAATATGTGGTGTAATGTGTTTTGGGCCATAACATTAAATTACAACAGGATTGTTCGGTTATGAATGCATTATAAAAGTTAGTTATGATGTAGTTAAAATAATATTGGATGATAGTAATTTTTTTGTGTGTTTTGGACAGATAAATCATGGGTCAAAATTGACCCGCGAACACCATGAACGGTAGGTAACAGCTTTTGAACACAACACAAGGGTTAAAACATAAAAGCACAGACCTGAGTTAAAAGTCTGTTTCTCCCTGTGGTCTGCATGCTGCTGCTGAGCAGGTAACAGCCGCCTGACGTTTCTAACAACCACTCTGCTGTAGTCGATCTCAAAGATGTAGCCACTCCGACTGCTGGCAAATCTAGGAAGAAAGAATCTTTTAATAATCATGATTTCAGAGGATTTGGGTGTTAAATGAGATGTTTCAGGACTGGTTTGCTCTCTTACAGTGTTCGATCATCAAGATGCTGGTGGAAAGAGTTTCCCTCCTCAAAGGCCACATCGGTGAAGTCCAGTGAGTGGTATTCACCCAGGTTGACGGGACAGGAGCGCAGCGTTCCATTCCTCACTCTCCACAGACGGATATTATCCCGACCACATGACACCATCCTGAAACCAGCACAGAGTTATTATTTAATGACAAGTCTTCACAAGGCCTACTTTTCTCCTGCTCGAACAGCTAGCATCTTTCCACAGCTCTCACCGGGGTTTTACACCTTTCTTTACTAAGTGTGAGAGTGGACTCGAAAACACTTTGCAAGACCTTCTGCAAGATTAATAGACCTTCTCATTCTATACATGTAGTTGGAAAATAAACTTCCTCCTATTATTCGCTGCAGCATCCTGACATGACATGATACTCTATATGTGTAAGATGTGGACCATTGGCTGTCATGACATAATTAAATGGGGCAGAGCAGTTGAATCTTAACAGAGAAGTTGATATATGCGCAGAAATGCAACATGCAATCAAGTACACTACCAAAAAATCTAAATAGAGGGTACCTTGTATCATCAAAGAAGGCCACCTTCATGGTGTGTATGTCCACATCTGTGTGAGCTTTGGCTATAATGCTCACTTCTCCACCTTCACTAACGTTCATAGTGTTCCAGACGACCACCATCTACAAACACAGACAGTCAGCTCACAGCTTTGTCGCTTGATTCTTATTAAGAGAATAACTTGTCATTTAAAATATTTTTCAGCCTTAGTAATGATATAAAGTGTTGCTTAGCATTTTTTCATCAAGATCTAATGATACCCCTGGCTCTCCTCAGATTACGCTCAGCTAAAGCTCATCACACTTGTACATATATTAGAAAAACTGAATTTTTATGTGAGAAATTTACATTTGTAGCGCTTACAGTTTTATTGTGGCTGTCTTTACCCACTCCACAGAGAATACTACCGCTGTATGAGAAGCTTCGAAAAGGAGAAATAACAAAAAAGACAATATTAGTAACTTATCATAAACTTTGTATGCATGGTAAGAAACTTTCTGCAAATAATGATCTATTTTTGCATGACAGTGACTCACATTGAGAGACTTCTCTAAATGATGACATTGACAGTCTCTTGAGAACTCCTGGTCATTATTTTTATACACACAGGTTGTTATTTTTGAGCTACCGAGTTTTCATTTTGAGAAGAACAAGTCACTATTTTGAGAAAGTTTCTCATTATATAGGGAGACTTAGTCATTATTTTGAGATATGAGGTAATTCTTTAGGAAATAAATGGCATCCAGGAGTCTCCATAGAGAGGCGAAGTCCCTCCCTTTCCGGGGGAGCTCCATGGGACCTTATTTCGGAAAAAGTATGTATTAAAGTCAATGGCGAGAGAAAGATTATCTTTCAATCCCGTTTGAATTGTGCCACGAATTACACACATGATGATTGTCAATTTAAAAGATAATTTTGCAAGTCAAAAAAATGTAAATGTGTCGTAAAACTGTGAAGTAACACTTTTTTTGTGTGAAACCGCTCAATGAACTACATCTCCCGTCTCGCACCAACACCAAGACGGCCGTCACGTTGAAACATTTCACTTCTTCTTTCAGAATGAGGCGGAAAGTATTAAAAGAGGTGAAAATCACTACACGTCTGGGCGTGTTGAGAGCTGTACATACACACAAGGGGAGTTAGTCGGTTCATAAGAGCCAGCATGCGGGACCGGGATTCTGGGATTTGTAGTCTTTCTAGTTGCGTATTTTTCATAGTCTTATATTTCAACAGTTTTACAACAAACTTTTTTTGACATGCAAATAATTGTTTAAGATTGACAAACATCATATGTAATTTGTGGCACAATTCAAACGGGATCGAAAGATAATCTTTCTCTCCCCATTGACTTCAATACATACTTTTTCCGAAATAAGGTCCCATGGGTCGGAAGTAGATGGGCGGGACTTTGCCTCTCTACTGCTTAAAGCTCATTGATAATGAAAGATATCTGTGGGTGTGTGTGACAGAGTACAGTACAGTATATTATGCAGTTGGGTACCTCAGAGAGGACAATGAATGAGCATGAATCCTGGACATGGCCAGGCACTTTCCCTTATGGTAATCCCACACTCTGACTACACTGTGGCTGCCGGTTTGTGCTGAGGCCAGCAGTGTTGTGTTGCCATTAAAAGCCAGAGCAGAGACCTACAGAGAGAGCACAAGCACAGATGTTAGAAAAAGACAAACAAAAACTCTAGAAAAAACGTTTCCGATATTACGTCATATCGGCAGTAAATCTGGATCAGCTCCGTCGTACCCCCGTTTTTAGGGATGTGGGCAGTGGTGTACTGTAGTGGTTGATGGACGCCGGGGATCGCTGTTCCCCCACTTATTTGGAGCATGATTTTTTTTTAAATAGTCTAATATAAAATCATTGCCAGTGTTATCAGTTGCAAGTGTGTATTGTTGTAATAATGACTGTGTGTCAGGGGCAGCGCCGTGTTTGTGTGTGTGTGTGGGAGAGGGAGAGAAGCAGCGCTTTCTGCTTGTTTGCAATGACGTAGCTCAAGCATTTATGCAACTTGATTTGAAGCCTGTGTGTGTGAGGGGCAGCACCGTGTGTGTGTGTGTGTGTGTGTGTGTGTGTGTGTGTGTGTGTGTGTGTGTGTGTGAGAGAGAGAAAGAGAGAGAGAGCACGCGCGCCAGGAATAATACCGAAGCATGTGCATACAAGATCCATTTATTCGCCATGCATATATAATCAGATGTTACAAAAACTCTAGAAAAAACAATCTCTCTTTGGATTAGATTTACTATGTTGATCCTAAATTGGGACATTATTTTGTTACACCATGTTTACAGGGCTTTGCATATAAGTTAATTCATTATATTTTCTTAAAACTAAAGATGTCCGTACAGCTCTTTAAATTATTTGGTGAGGAATTCCAGTTTAACCCCAACTACAGAGTTACTCATCTGTTTTAAAGTAGTATGTGCAAACTGATGCCTGTTGGAAATGTTATAAAATAAACAGTAAATAAACATATTCAAAGAAGAAGGATATATTTATATAGACTATTTTTAGCATACATAATATAGAATATACAGAATACTTTGTAATAGACCAAAGTATGAGTTATTTTAAGCGAAAACAGAGTGAAATCTGTTTTTGTTTTTTTATTATGAAGCTGGAAGTTGGCAGCAAATATTTCCTGTTTCAGTTCTTGTAAAATCTTGATTGTACAGAATCTAACTGCAAAGACCAGGACTTGTGTGATGTTATTTAAGATGCTGAGTTGTTACCTTATCAGTGTGTCCGATGAAGAATCTCTGCTGGTTTGGCGATATCTTCATGGAGACGATGATTGCGTGACACGGATACACGACTTCATCACCCGATTTGCTCCACAGGGCCTGTAAAGTAAAGAAGTCCAGTTGTTAGACTCCATGGCATCAATGCATCATTTGTACCCTTTCAAACTGTACACGAGTCCAGCATGATGAGAATCTAACATTCCCTTTTTTTTTGGTGTGTCAGTCATCCACACCAATCAGAAGTGATGTGCTCCACATGTACCAGCCATTGTTAATCAATCAAAAGTGGCCCATGATAGAAGGTGACAGACAGATTGATCCAATCACCTGCCAAGTATTTTTGAAAGTGCCTGCCCTTTCCAAATGGCTTCCAATGGAGCTTTCCTAGATGGTTTGGTGAAATAAACCATCCGAGTCAGGTTAGTAATGCTCCATCACATGTTTGACATCTATTACAGGGTGAATCTTAAACTGAAGCTCGACTTTAAAGCAACCCAATGGAAGTTTCATGTAAGTTGAGTTCTTTCACTCGTAGCTCGGGCAGCGGGGGTGCTAGAGACGGGAGCACGTTGATGCGACCTTCCTAGCCGGAGATATGGCCGCATTTTACAATAAACTTCCGTTGGGTCGCTTAAAAACAAATATCGCAAATCGAATGAGAAAAATCGCAATTAGATTATTTCCCCAAATCGTGCAGCCCTACTTCACAGCATACATATTTAGTAGTGGCTCCTCCGAAGCCGATGATTCGATTGAGCCTGAGAATGGGGTCTGGGAGCAGCTTCTAAGGAAGAGAGAGTAGAAAAAGTGATGAGCTTCAAACTTTTGATGGATCTGGTTTCACTTTGTACTGATCTCCTCCCTCACCTGCTGTCTGCTTTCGTTGGATGATGATAGATGCACCGGGCGTGGAACTGGAGTGCAAGCAAACTGGGAATATAACAAGAAGAGTGTTTACAACGCTGACATGGTGAGCAGGAGAGGACTGTGGTATATAATGGCTTTTCTGTTGCTGTTAAGCTACATTGAATGTACGATCTAGTGAAAACAAGCTTCACCTCTAGTTCACTTTCCTCCCCGTGTTGGATGAAGCCGTCCTCAGGATGAAGGTGAACATGAACGCCCCCGTCATCGGTGTCCCAGAAGGGCCTGGATGTGAACTGCTCTGAACTAGTTGTCTCCTGCTGATGCTGGTCAGTATTTTGGCCGAGGGAATCATCACTGTGGTGAGTAGAAACTAGACCTAGCTCTGGGATTTCAGTCACCACCATGGGGGGTTGATTCCTTGGGATCTAAGAAGACAGAAGGAGGACACTGAGAAGGAAACATATAGCAGCCTCCTAGGAAACTCTACCATTTCAAAACAAATCTAAAGTCGGCCCTATTTTCAGGGACAAAATTCAAGCTGATTCGATTTTAAATACCTTATTAAAAAGGTAATCAAGTCTAGGGCTGCATGATTTGTAAAAAAATAGATTAATTTCAAATATTTTGACTGATTTTGCAATTGCAATTTGGTTCACAATATTGGAGGGAATATTTTGTAATCATAACTTAATATCATTAAAAAATGTATTCAAGGATTATTGTGATTCTACTTAATTCAAAGTGAAGAATATTGCACTAGCATGTTATGGCAGAATTCTTATTACAGCGTATTTCTGGCTTATTCAGTAAGGTCACATGGTAAGCTATATCATGTGTGTTATTGAATTTCAGTCTCCAGAGTTAGAGAGGGCTATGAGTCTCTTTGCTAATAATCCTTGGTCTTTGAATTATCAATAGATGTATTCATTTAAAGTGAGCTGATGCATAGGTCAGAGAGGCCCCATCGTCTTGTTATATCAGTCTTATGCCTAGTCACATGGTTAGTTAAGACAAATGTATATTTGAGTTGGGTTTCCAGAGAAGAGGACCCATCGCCTCTTCCGTAATTATTAGGTGTCAGCAAGAGAGGTCTTCCTCAGATAGAATTGAGTTAAGTGTTGTTAGTTGGGTAGGTTCAATATCCTGCAAGACTCCTAAAGACGTCATGAGATAATGACCTTTCGATATCTGGAATATACATGTGATAAGGATGTTTGTGTGGTTGGCTGCATGTTGTTCTCATGTGTGTGCGTCATTTAGAAGCTATATATGCCTATGTGAAACTTCTACTCTGGGGGCATTTCTGCGATTGGTTGCTGTGCAGCAAGGTAAATGTTTCCCCATTATTATTTGTTTGTTGCGAAACTGAATAATAATTAATCTCAACTATATTTGTGTTTGTGTTTTATTGATCTCTCTCTGTGTTAACATTTAAGGTTGGTGAGCCATAAATTGCACTAAGAAGCACATATTGCGATTTGATAAAATGTTGATTAATTGTGCAACCCCACTTAAGTCTTACTGATTTTGGAGCGGTGATCTGCTGGATGAGGGACACTCGGTCCTGAACTGGTTTGCTGAGGCTGACAAAGCAAGGCTCCTCTCTAATTGGTCTTCTTTGGTCAGAGACACAACCTGGGGAAGAGAGAACATGCAGTACCACAGCTACAAGAGAGGACATGGATTCTGTCCAAACAGCTTTGATCCTGCGTAATTGTATGGCAATCAAAATACAAATAAATCCCTAATGGCTCTTATATATTTTGATGAGTTAGTAAATCTACAATAAAATTAAAGCAAATAGACAACAATAATACAGAGAAATAATACATAATAATATATATATATAATAATAATAAATAATACAGAGAAAATCATGGTGCAAAACACATTTTAAGTTTGAATCAAAATGCCAAGACTATGGCATGCAAAGACAGTAAAAAAGCTTTAAATACTGTATGAATGTTGAGAAGTGTGATAGTTCATGACTTACTAGCCTCGGGCCTGGGAGGGTCTTTTTGAATGGAGTCAAAGGGTAGCTTCGTTCCCTCTGAGGGAAACCTGTCGAGGAAGGATGAGATCAGATGAGAGACTAAATAGATGTAAACTGTGACGAAAGCAGCAGCTGCAGTTTCCCAAATGCATAAATAGCCAATAATGGGAAGTTTGTATCGTTATGTTTTATTCTGGTAATGAAATTATAGCTGATTTGGTCGATAATACAAAGCCAAATTGCTTTCATTGACTTAACAAGCACAGCATATACACACTGTAGGTGGCACCTTAAAAGTTTTTGATCAGCCAATACACTCAGAGAAGAAGACAACAACAACAAAAAACAACCAGCGCAGCACACTGACTAGAGAGCCCAATATGTTGTCACCAGTCTGGAGTAGAAATGAAATACATTGACATTTGAAGAGTCAGGACTATTCTTTGTTTTGTTAACATCAGTGACAGGCAACAGGGATTATAACTGTTTCAAAATAAACTACCAAACATCACGGCCCCAAAAACGACAAAAAGGAGTTCAGGGTAGATTCTGCTTTTAGAATAATATCAGCGATGTACATTGAGTTTCCAGGTGAGGTTACCATACCTGATGTGATCGTAGAGGTCGTGCCAGGAGCCTCCTTTGGGAACAGGAAATGACATGTCTCTGGGGACGGGACCCGTTCCCTCTGAAGAAACCAGACCCATCAGCTTGGCTTCACTGAAGGAAAGACCTGTTGAGTAAAGATGTGATACGGGAGTCACTAAGAGGACACTATCTAGAAATCTGAGGTTGCAGTCTAATGAGGAATAAGATAAGATAAGATAGGACTTTATTTATCCCGAAGGAAATTGTTGTGCCAGAGTTACAAAAATACAATAAACACAGCAGCATAATAATAAAACGGTACACTAACAGTGCAGTAAAAAGAGCAATTAAATATCTACAGGAAACAGACGGTCACATAATTAATGTAAAATACTGTAAATTGACAAGCAGTATTTAGTAGTGCAAAAAAACGTAGTGGCAGATACGTAATTGAACGTTATTATAGAACATTATTAATAATTAATAATATTGCACATGTTGTATCAGTGGGCAGAATGATGGGTATGAGAAGATTTTGTTTTCCACTTAAAGGATTTGAAGTGTGCTCTAAATATTCTTGGTTATCAATGTTGTTTGCTAATTAAGATTATTTAATGAAATGGTTTGAATAAGCAATGGGTTTAAGATCAACACGATTTCTTTATATTAGTGTCTTTTAGAGAACAGCATTTATCTTTTTTTTCACATGACATCATCTTGCTTACTTGTATAAAACCACCAGAGATATACACAACTATAAACAAAGAGGATATAATAATACTGTTAATATCTATGCCATCTTAGTGTCACCTGGATCTAGCAGCAGGTTGCTGGTGAACATGTTTTTCACTGCCATGTTGGCACAAAGCTTAATGCTCTTGAGTTGACTGTAGCAGCGGTTGAGGTAGACGGAGAGAGTGTACTGCAGATCCAGCGTCAGACAGGTCCAACGCACTGACGTGGGAGCAGGACCCACTAAGCCTGGACCACAGAAACACAAATATTGCAAGATTATTTACATTATATACAAAATACAGCGAACTATCAGCAAAGGCATGCAACAAATGGATCATATCTAGATGAGTATGGCTGTTCTTGTATCTTACCATGTCTTGCAGATTTAGCTGTGCTTTCATAGACTGAATCCTTTGCAGCTCCGCACAAGAAAGGAAACTGAAGCCAGGTAGCCGTGGATTTGAATTCTTTGAACATGTTGGAAAAAGAGATACGGACCACCTGGCCCTCCTACATATCAAAGCACAAGAGAGAAAGGGAAAGACATTTTTTTTTTTTTTAAATCAATTAAATCTTCACGTACACCATAGCGGCATTTATAGTAGATAGTTGTTGAATATTTTGCAATTAAGGAAATTGCTGTGGTTTTATTTTTAAGAGTTATATAAAACCAATGAACATCTCCCACTGTGAGAGCTAATTATATCCAACAGTGGGACATGATTTAAAGTACCAGAATCTATGCTGAAACCTTCATAACACACAAGGGGACGGGTAATAACCGGAAAAGCATGACATGGGACCTTTAAAAAAAATGAAATATCGTTAATGTGAAGTTAAAACTTCTTTGCAGCAATGTTGAGCCAATCATGAAATGAGTGAAACTGGATTCGCCTGTCAATACACTGATATTTATTGAGAGCCTGAGCGGCCGGAGAGTTCACAGCATATTACAGTTCCCTGCAAGATACCAGCCAACTCTGCCCAAAAGCGCCAAGCACCCATCTATACATGAAGAAGAGGAGGGCCCTAAAACACGCGGGTTTTCCTTTAATGCATGCCAGATGTCGAGACAAAGACTCGTTGCATTGTAAACCCACATGAGCCAAGCTTCTCCCCCACAAGACATCAGATGACCTCTTGACCTGTGTCTTCCTGAGAAGCTATGGATCACATTACAGGCAGGAATACACTTCAACCATATTAAACAGATTCCCGAGGACAAATCACTAAACTCTATATACTTTAACAAGACTCAAATATTCCTTTACAGTTAAGATAGCACAAACATATCAATGAAATCTGATCCGATACCTCGACAGAAACATCCAGGTGGACCACAAAGTATTTTCCGGGGGTGGGCCTGAAGAGAAGGTAGAAGAAGCGACCGGTCAGCCCCAGAGACTGGTTGATGGTTTTGGGTATCTTGATGAAGCTGTTGGCAGGAACAGGACCTCTGATCCTGAACACTGAGCACTTCAGGCGCTTGTCCTAGGAGATTTATCAAGGACATAAAGTTAATTCTTCTTCTCAGAAAACCAAATCAATCTGTCAATTTGTCTGTCCTTGGATGAAACGCAGTTAATTTAGCATAAATATAACTTTTTCTACATACTGAGCCTACAGAAAATGGAACTATGCTGCAGGATTTGAAAAAATTGTATTGAGGGTTTTCTATCCCGTGTGAAAACCTGTCGCTAGCTGAAATGAAATTCATGCAAAGCTACCATAGACAAATCTACACTTTTAAGTCACTTATCAATCCTACAGCAGTGAGTGATTGGGATATAAAAGATAGTTTGGGGGTCAAGTATAACTTGGGTTGACTAACGGCATTAACTAACATTAGTGTGCAGCAAGGTTACCGTGCATGTTGACACTTCCCCCTCTTTGTCCGACCGTTTCCAGTCTTCAACCCTGACATGTTTGAATATGTTGACGTAAGGATGCTGCCAACCTGGGAAGTCAAAACAAGGTGAATAACAGCATTAAGCTATCAAGTTGTCTTACAATATTGGTTGCATAATAAGATGAGATAATATATACTTTTATTGATCCAAGTTTTTGAAATGATGTTGTCACAGCAGCATTGCACATGAACTCAACATTAAATGAAATACAAAATACACTAAAAACAGCAGATATACATGTATTAACAGTAATACATAAACAAAAAAGAACAGTACATATGTATATATCAACAGTGAAATATGTATACCTAAAGTATCTCTATGGAATATCAACAATAATATACAGATTAACATTGAGAATTGAAGTCAATGTACTTTGATAGGCCAACTCATAAGTAACAAATGTAAACTATTGACATTATAAGTTAGCAACGTATACTATTTGCGTTATAAGTTAACAAGTGAACAGGACAATACTTTAATTAAAAAGGTTAATTTTACCTTTGGAGGCCATTGATACACAATGCTTCAAACAGGAGATGTTGATGTCTCAGTGTCTGCAGCTGAGAACACGAGCAGCTAGTGGGGCTTTAGAGAGGTTAGCTAGCAAACAGACAGCTAAATTAACAGTAAAGCTCCTTATCAGAATGCCACAGTGAAGAACTATGATAACACATTTAGTTTCACATTATTTGGAGATAAGAGACCTTTTCCAGTTCTCCCGGGAAGCGAGTTAACAACAGTTTTGATTTGACAACTGCTAGAGTTGTATCCTTCCCGCTCCAGCCTCCGCCGTTGCCAACGACAGCACGACGCTCATGACGTAAGTACGTTGCTTTTCCTGGTGCTTCTGGGTAATAGAGTTCACAGAGCAAAAAAGCAATTCAGGAAGAAACTGTGTTATTTTAGCATAGGTTGGAGAAATATTCAGATGTTGTACTTAAATAAAAGTGCTGTAGGGTAGGATGTGCAAGTTACCCGATCTAACTGGTCTTATTAATGTGTTGTTAAGAAATGTGCAAAGTAACTAAAGGTATTCAATAAATGCAGTGGAGTAAAGTACACCATTGCATTATCCCTGAATTGTAGTGGGGTCGAAGTACAAAGTAGCACAAATAAATAAATCCTGAAGTAAAGAAGTCTCTCAAAATTGTACATTTTACTTGAGTAAATGTACTTATTTACTTTACACCACTGTTTTTTGTAATATGAAAGCAAAAAGGCTAACCCAATATTTGTTATAAAGAAGACAGTGCATATAGTTCAGGTGTAGATTGACTTAAAGTTTGACATTTATATCCTTTTTCAGGACACTGTTTCTGATTACTATAATCCTATAATTCTGTTCATTCAACATATATATCTTATCCAGTTGTAGGCTAACAGTTGTAAATATGCAGCGGGATTTATTTGTAAATCATTTTGTATAAACACACAAATTCTGTGTTTTATATTAAGTCATTCTGTGTTCTACATTTTATTGAATGTTCAATACCTGACAAGGTCGGAGATCAGTGGACGTAACCTCTGAAGTGTGGTCTCTGTGCTCAGGAGATTATTGTTGCAAGGACTTCCCCCCCCCATATATTAAAAGTTTCTCAATTCTCTAATTTCCCCTCCTCGACTCCTATCCTCGTGACTTAGTCCCGCCCACAGGAGATGCGAGCGGAGGAGTCGAGGAGGGGAACCGAGGAGAGAGGAGTGGAAGCAGCAGGCGGTTAGAGAAATGAGAACTCCTCTCCTCTGAGCGGTCATTTTAAAGAGACGTCCATTAATGATGACAGGAGGCACAGCAGCCCTCTGTCTGATGGACAGATGTGTTCATGACGACTTATATATTTACTTTTAATTCATTCACAGTGCGGTATAATGAGACAATAACAGGCTACAGATGCAGACATATACACACACATCTATATTTATATAAATATACAATTTCAGAATCAAACAAGTATGAGAGCACTCTCATAATAACGTAACACAAACAGAGACTGGATTTTCCCTTTTTGTAAATGTTCCACGTGAGAAGAGTCACTGTGAGGGAAACCTAATGTAAAACTGATCATTATAACTGTTGTCAGATTGTCAGTAATAAAACGGAGATCGTCAAAGCTGTATGCTGGCTCGGGTCATCCATGAACAACGCAAAACACAACGCAGAGACCGCTTAACGACACCGGTTACACAGCGACCTACAGGGGCTACATATTCAATCACACATTAAACAATTTAGTGTAAACAAATATACGTTTAATTTCTATACTCCATTTGTATGAAAGATAGTCAAGTCTTAAATAATCACAAGTTCACAATTGTACAACTCATATAACAATTACTTATTCACAATTTTAAGTATTCACAAGTCACAACAGACCAAATATCATCTTAAAATGTACAGTCAATGCCAAAACATATTCAATCTGAGTCCATATTTACAGCATTTGGGAGTGACTCCACAGGGTCTTGAAGGTGAATGAGGAAGGACACCTGCATTGCCACTGACGATTGTCCAATGTCCTCCTGGTCCAAATGCTGCATAGAATTGTCTCGATTCTCCACTGATGGATTCTGCAGCAAAGAAGCTTTAGGCTGTGGTGAAGTTGGTTGAAGTTGGCATCTAGAAAGAAGTGAACTCTCAGGAGTCGGTGAACCATCAGTCATTGCTCTTATGGTCGTTACGGAGGATCTGTTGCGCTCTGTCACTTTGGCGTTGGAGAACGTTTCCACACGAGAGCCAAAAACAGCTAGTCACTGTCCACAGCAAACAACCTCAGCCTCTATCCTCCAGCTGCGAAACTTCCTCTTCAGCTCTGTCCTAACCTGCAAACAAAGTGGAGGTGAGCCATTTCAAATACCATTCACAATAGTATTCATTATGGTATTAATAAAATCCATTTCAGAGTGACTGTACTAATTGGTGTAACATTTTATGACATTTTCCAGTCCATACTGAAAAAATGAAGGAATTTATCACGGTATTTATCAAATCAAATACACACTGCCCACAAGTAGATGTCTAAAACAATGGGCTTTTCCTTCTAATGCATTCTTTAATGATCTGTCCAGCTGTACATCTCAACCTGACGACCCTAGATGGGTTTCTCAATAAAGATCTCATCTCCCCATTATCAGGATTATTAACAATGTTTTAATATGATTTAAGACGTACTTTTTCACACATTTTCCATATAGATTAATATATGTATTTCAGATAATGTGACATTGAGAACCTTCTATGTATGGTATAGAAAATGTTAGTATGAGATGAAACAACACACCTCTTTATTGGCATAGCAGTAAAGCACAGCCACCAGAAAGCCCTGCAGAGGAACCACAGAAACGTCCTGTTTATTACGTTTGCTATGCAGGATCACAACAGACATTATTTTTGATATATTGGCAAAGAAAGCATCTCTCTTTGATTGAATTAAACCTACCTGAAATGAATTGAGAAAAAGGGTGAAGAAGACTTTAATGTATCGCAGAACACCTGATGTCTGCTCATCTGTTGCAAAGATGAAAATGATCTCATGAACGCCAAACAGAGGGATGAGGGTGAGTGTTGCCTTGGCAAGCCTAACAGGACAGAACAAACAGCAGAGCAATTAGTCATAACACCATCACAATTTTATTTATATTTATTTTTGTAACCTTTATTTATACAGATAAATCCCATTGAAATGCTGTAACAGCGAGAATGTTAAGAGTTGAAAATATGAAATGTATCGTCGACATTGAAAAAAGGCTGAGACAACTTGCCTGAGTTTGTAATCCGCAAATCTGCTTTGGCTGCTGGCTCGTAATTTTGAAAGAACGACTTTCAAGATCTTGATGAAAATCAGAAAGTTGATCTGTTGAAAATCGTAATGTTAATTACTATGTTCTGTGTAGACAATCATATTATACAGATGTCAGATGATGACTCACTAGTGAAACAAGAAGGATGGGGAAACGTATGATCCACCAGTAGTTCATGTTGGAATTGACAGCCCAACACCTGACACGAGAAAAGACACAGCTGTTACAATTGATCTGCTCTCCAATATGGATCTGTGAAAGCAAAAATGTAATGATGAACAGATGGAAACAGGGCAACCACCTGCACATACTCTTACTCTTTGTTTTCTTTCAATTGCTTCATCACCACCCATGGAACCACAAAAAGAAGTGGAGTTCCTGCGACAAAATCAGAAAATATTGCAGGGTTCAGTGTGGGTGCTTTTAAAAACATTTGGTTTGATAAGTAAACATACTAAAACATTTGTTGAAATCTAGTATGGATGTGGTATCAACCTGATTTAATGAGTTCATAATACCAAAAACTTGATTGTTATTTATCTACACTGCTGTTACAGGGGATGCTTTACTATATTCAAATTGATATAAATATATGATGTTTTGCCATATTAGAAATAAAGGTAATGAATCCCAGAGAAGGTACTTACCCCAGCCAAGACAGATGTAAGGTAAGTATTTGTTGTTGTCGATGAACACTGAGGCAATAAGCACAGAGTACAAATAAATGGCCTCTCCAAAGAACCAATAGTGATTGGCCAGGACACAGTACTGCATCACTACCTGAGCTATCCTGCAGCCAATAGCAGCCTAAAAGGGATGGAAATAACACATACAAGTTACAAAAGGCTAATGTTTAAACTTCAACAAATAACAACAAACCCACCTCGTCACTGAGCATGTCCTTTACATCAGTTTGTTTCATGATTTCTCTTCCCCAGTGGCGGTCAAGCATGGTGTCTTTAATAATGACCGATACAGCTCGCAGGATGAGAGACAGGAAGAGGTTGGCATGAATGTAGTTCCTGGTGCAACGCAGATTCCTGTCAGGAGACATACAAATACCCCACGTTTAAATTTGGTATATCAAGGGCATTAAATGTGTATATTTATCTTGCTTCTCTGATCTTGATTTTGTTGGCATCTTCAAATTAAAATAGGCAGATTTGATTTTGCATCTTTTGTGTTGTTTTGTAATGCCATTGTTTTATAACCCTTTAGTCACTTCTCTTGTTTGACAGCTTACCTCAAGCTCATAAGAATAATAAGAGCCGTTATGAGCGTAAACAGCGACAAGGAATAGCCGAAAGTGTACAACATCCTGAAGCTCAACATCAGTTGTTTGAACCACAGCTGTGAAGACAAATCAAAACCTGTCAATTTCAGGGAAGAAAACAGATTGCTTCACTAAAGTTACCACCTATTATTGACTAACGGCATTAAGATTAAGGGATGTAGTATCTGCAAATAATCATTTGGGTTTACCAACTGGTTGTGATTTACAAAATCAAGATATTTCAAATTGTGCTGTTTGATTTAAAATCCACCAGGTCTTTTCACTGCAGCTTCTGATAATGCACCTCAGGTGAGTGCAAATCCAGGAAAAATGTTTTGATTCCAGATTATAAATCCTTTGACAGGGCAATAAAAAGGCAGCAATCAGCTCAAATTATCAGCAACTGCTAGACAGAAAACAGCAGGGGAAAAAACGAATAACATCGAGACTCATACCAGGAAATAGAAAGACACCAGGGGTCCATAACATAATATATATACAATATTAATGAGAAATAGAAAAACACAGTGGTCATTCACTAATAGATACCATGAAGGATCAAATAGATGTAAAAGTATGTAATCATGCAAAAGGAAGTCTACAGGTTAATCAAATAGGATTCCTATCTTCAATCAGGGCTCACATCACACAAGGCTTTGTGTGGATCAGAATTTATAAATACACTATATCAGGGGCACTCAAATACAAATCTTAAAGGTCCAAAAAAATTATTTCAATAAGACAAAGGTCTGTTTATTACGGTCATTTAAACCTTTAAAGAATTGCAACAAGATACTTAACACAAGGTTGCAAAAACAAAAATAATCTGTATGCAGCAGTTTTCATTGTTATTGTGTCTGTGCTTGATCCCTCAGAGTCGCAGTGTAAGAGCTGCACAGTTATGAATAAAGGCAGCTGCACCCTCTTTCATTCAGCATTCCCATTATTGCTTTATAAATGTCTTGCCCCCTTCTGTGTCCACTGAGGTTCGTCAGGCCCAACACATCTTCAACAAACTCCCCCTTTGCCTCATCATAAAAACTCACAAAGACCAGCAACTGAGCATTGTCAGTGGACTCACCCACAGCTAAGGAAATGCACTGTGCATTTTGTATTCCATCACAAAGCTGATTAATCAAATCACCAGCCAGTATGTTCTTCTGGTTGCTGTGGAATCTGAGAGGGGGATTTGCTTGACCTGTTATTTCCTCTTTTTGTTTGCCTTCAAACATGGTCTCCATCACTTCAGTCATGCATTCTTTTATACTTCAGTTATTATCCAGTGGAAAGTCCTTACCTGCTGGCCTAGTTAAATCAAAGTGGTTACTTTTTTTGGCTGGGCAGTGTAGTTTTACACACCGTCTTATTTGACTTTCTCAGGACTTAAAACTGTTTTTTGGGGGCAGACCCCCACAAAGAAAAAAATATATTTACACATGTAAGGTCATTATCTTGATCTGTGCCAAATGGGAAAGCAGGAAGTACACACTCTTTCTGCCACATTTTGGCAATAAATAAATACATTAAAATAATACATGTTCCTGGAGAAATGTATTATGCTGCAATAGCTGTAATATGACTAAACATCTTAATACAAGTAATTGTATGATTTAATGGAGAGCACATCATAGGCTATAGACAGCATGCATTGACATCTCTTTTCAACATGATTCTATCCCTCTCAAGACTTTCACTTATCATGGCTAATGTAAATGGAGAAGAGCTGAACACTTAGTGAAAAAGACTCAGGCCAGAAATGGAACTTCCCGACACCACTTTTAATTAACTGCCTTGAACAATGTGAAAAAAATGTAACCATGAAAGTGCCATGACATAATGAAGTTACATTTTTCCTTGTGATCCTTAACAGAACTTTGATTAAGATTATAACATGTGAACCAATCAGCGTGAAATCCACTGCATTCTTCATCTAGATGATCTATTTAACTGTCACTTACATCGACCCCAGAGACCTTAACTCCCTTATTACCTCCCACCCCCAGTACACCCCCATCCTCCTCCTCCACCCCAGCTGAACTGGTGAGTCACTACAGCAACTGTCTCTCATCTTCCCTGGATGCTCTGCCCCCCCTGAAAACGTGCAGTCTCATTTGTGCACACTGCTCCCTGGTACACTGCTGACCTCCAACAGATCAGAACCACTGGCCGCCATTTTGAACGTCTGTCCAAAAAGACTGGACTCTCAAGCCACATACAGCTCTACAAAGAATACCTGAGCCTTAGAAGAACGCCCTCTCCACTGCTAAGTCCTGCCAAAACCCAAAAGTACTCCCAGCCAAATAAAACTCTTTAGTATGAGCCAGCACACATGAAGTATGGAGCTACCGCTGAAGTATTGTCAATCGGTTAAGCGTATGCAAATATCACTTCACTATGGTCACCTGGGTGCAAATAACTGCTGCCTATAAATATTTATTTTATTCTAATATGGTGCAACTGCAACAAATAAAGTGTTTGGATTTGATAAAACAGTAACTTTGTTTTGAAGTGTGAAATGCTGCATACATAACATTGTGTACTATTGATATTATTATTATAATGATTCTCAATGGTTATTATTATTGCACATGCCTTTTATAGGAAATCTCTTTTACTGCGGGATGCCGTTCCCAATAGGGATGGTTGTCATAGATACCTGTCACGGAGGTGATCTCTGGGCTCATAGATCTCGGCCTCCATTACGGGTTGTTTAGTTTTTTGTTGTTGAAAAGTGTTCCCCTTTCCCCATGTCTGTCGTTGATTGTGTGCACCTGGTGCCCTGTGTTGTCTCCTCCCCCCTCACCTGTGTCCTGTTGGGTTGGGCATTTAGGCTTTGGGGTTTTGTTGTTTGGGTGGTAGTGTGTGTGAGATCCTGGTGGCTGCAGGCTGTGCCCACGTGAACAGCAGCAGCAGGATTGAGGCTGTGTGTATTGTGTTCATGCTGCAATAAATGCCCACACCGGGTTATATTTGGGACGTGCTGCCTCTGCCTCCTTGCTTGGTCTGGGCTGCTCAATTGTCAGCTTCACAATACCATTTAAAGCTTTTACTGCTGTGTTAATCAAAAGACATAAACATGAGGATGATGGACTTCACTTTTTTCTCTCTCTTTCTATGCATACATGTGTATATCCAACATGAGCAACATAAATACACGCACACACATCTCTGAGGCTCTTCGGACCGATTAGGGCCTCTTGTGTTGATAAAAGCCGAGTGCTTTTATAATAGTTATACTGTAATAACCATTCAGCACTGTGATTTATTTCCATTAGTTTATTGGCTTTCGTGAACATAAATACACTTTCTAAACTTCTTCTATTCTGCGTCACTGTTCAATGCCACCGAACTTTATAAAAGAACATGTATTTACAAGACACAAAAGCAGTCGCATCCATTTCCAAGAAACTTTTTAAAACTCTCGTTGATGTTTTTGTGCTTGAGTACTTCTGTCATGCCATGAGTGCAGAACTCTTTAAATATTGTGTTCATGAGTATTTCATTGTGAATCTCCTGATGTTAGCACAGCAGGCTATTTCGAGACATAATAATAATTGGAATTAAACTGCTCGACAGTGTCCATTTTATTGCTATACAACAAATGACCTTGTGCAAATACAGCAAATGTACAAAATGACTTAACAAAAGAGATGTTATCATGGATGCTGAGTGTATTTTAAATTGAAATATGGTGCCACTCTAAATATTTTCACCCTTGTCACGTCTTGTTTCATCCCTTATGGCAACAGCTACCTCAACAATAATGTCATAATAAATATGTTAACATCTATCTTAAAATACAGTGAAACATTTACAGAGTGATAATTAGTACCCACAAATAGCTTTGACTTAATTACATACACCTATATGTGATAACACTGCATTCTGTTCTCTCTATTTTACACGTGCAACTTTCCACAGTAGGTGCCGCTCTTTTCTTTGATCAGATGTCGACCACACAGCCCGGTGCGTTGGCTCGTATAGCGTCTGAGATGACCTTTGCTCCCGATTCCCCAATGCCATTCCCCTGCAGACTGTAGAACAAATTACATGTTTTAGTATAGGCAAGACAAGTTTATTCATATAGCACCTTTCAACACAAGGCAATTCAAAGTGCTTTACAAAAATGAAAGACATTAAGATCATTAAGAAACATATTATAAAATGGCATTTAAAAACACTCATTTAAAAGCAAAGATAGTAAAACATGAATAACAGACATGAATAAAAGTTACAGTGCAGTGTGAGATACACACATCTGAACAGTAACTTTAATTACCGCAACAGCGGTAATTCAAGTTTAAAAGTCTCAAAAATGCTACAACTACTGTCACAAACTGGATGAATGTGATGTATTTTGTTAAAGGAGGATGAAAGCGTAATTAAGGAGCACTATTGGAGTGACTTTGATGGTTATTGGACTCAGGATTAATTCATTTGGATTCCCGCTGTATGAAGAAATTAAAGGACGGCGCAAGTGGAAACAATTCACAAAGGGACTAAACTGTTTAAAACACATGCTCAAAGTAAGCCGGATTTTGCCGATGTGTTTATGTGGATTCAAAAGTCGTAAATAATCTATAAAATGGAGGAGACCGATCTGATCGGAGCAACTGTGACAAATAATCCAACTGAAAGCGGCATGGACAATGACATGTTTTAAAAATGTGCTTATCCAGACAAGCCCGGTTTGGACACTTAACGCGCAGAAGAAACATTTATATTAAAGAAAAAATGATAAATGTCTGTCTTTTTATGCCTTTAATAGCTACTAACTTGAATTGTTATTCAAATTAATTAATCAATTATTTTTTACATTTTATTGTAATGTAGAGACAAGGCTTTTAGTGACAATCATGTATTGAGTTACAATTATATGTAAAATAAATAAATAAATAAGAATAAATAAATAAAAAGTCTAAAAAGTCTAAAAAAGCACTTTGAATTGCCTTGTGTTGAAAAGTGCTATATAAATAAACTTGCCTTGCCTTGCCTAAATATGATATTTGGCCTCAAATCATCTGAGGCCTGGCGCCCCCCCTGCGATCTTTGGCTCCCCCCCAAGGGGGGCGCGCCCCCCAGGTTGGGAACCACTGCCTTAAAGTATAAGCAGCATAACAGCATGTACTCATCCTTGAGATGACACAAACACACATACTACCGTCTACTCACTTGATGTACGTCAATTGGTGGTTTCCTTTCAAGGCTGTTGCAATGAATATGGCTCCATCCATACCCAGAGAGTTCTCCTGCAGACTGATGATTCATACAATCATTTATCAAATGTCTATTTATTTTTTAATAACTGCAAAGTGCTGAATTTAAAAGGAACAA